AAACCCTAAAGACAAACCTACAATTGCCCCCAATGAAACCTACAATTCATCCTTTCATTTTCTTTCTCTCTCTATCCCTCCCTCAACACCAAATCTAGACATTTTCCCTTCCAATTTCTCTCTTCTGCTAGGTTCGAAAGAAACCCAATAGAAAGAACAAAGGAATCCACCTCAAGATCGATCAAAAAATACCCGAATTTTAATAAACTCACAGAATCACAAATCCCCAACAAACTCGCACCAGAACCAACAAATCCCTCACAGATCCATACCAACACCTAGAAATTACCACCAAAACAACAAGAATCAATGAACCCATGAACATTTACCACCCAATATAGAAAAAGAATAGTACCTCTTGCTCAGACAAGGGCTTGCATTGCATGAGCTGATCAATCTGGTCGTCTAGGTTCCCATGAGAATTCAATGACATTGAATCCAAACTCATCATTTTGTCTCCCCTTCTCAACCCTTTCCTTTGGTTCTTGCCAAATCAAATCCCCAAATTCTGTTGTTGCAAAAACCTTAGATTTCGAAGAAAATTTGTATAACTAGAGAAATGAAACCGTAAATTTCTAGGATTTCTAGAGAAAGAAAAATGGTGGTGAAGAGCCCAATGCCTTTCTCTTTTGGTTCCGATCAATCGCTCACTCCTTTTTAACCCAAAAAAAAAAGAAAAAAGAAATGAAACCTAGCAACTTTGTTAGGTTCTTTCAAACCTAGCAGATCTAGAAGAGAAAGGGGTGAGGAAAATCAAGGGGAAGAAGATGAATTGATTTGGTGAGGAAACTCAAAGGTGGTTTCAGGTGTTATGATTTACAGTAGTAGAAGGAAGGAAGATGAAGGAGAAAGAAAATGAGAAAGAGGATAAAAAGAGAGGAAGAAAAAAAAAAGGAATTTCTTTTTTTTTTTTCGCCACATCATTCATTTATCCATGCTGTAAAATCTACGCATCCAAAATTTGTTGACATGTCGTTCTTCTCCTGTCAATTAACAAACCATGTCAGCGAAAATTTAAGGGAAATACCAAATTAGGCCAGAATGGGAAACAATAAAAAACAAATCACAAATTTTTTGAGTTGTGAAATTCAAAATAAAGGTTTAACTTATTTTTTTTGTTATATTAAAAAATTAACTATTTAATATGGTAAAACTGTGAATTCCAGTCACCAGTTAACATAATATTTTTATTGATTTGGTGCAGTATTAGGTTATAGATCTTACCATGACAAGGTTTTGGTGGCATTATGTAACATGTTAGTATTGCCTTTTTCTTCTCGGAATCTCATCAAGTCAATGCTCATATGGTCACATCGGCTTTGGTCCTCCAATGGTTACATAACAATGTGAGTCTTTGAGATTCAGAACAATAAAAATAAAATTAAAATGTAATCGCAGAGTTTTTAATTAATATTTAAAAATATGTGTGGTAGGTTGTTCTGAAGTATGCATGCACTCATGCCTGAAATAAGAAGCTTGACCTTAACTTCCTTTAAAACAATAGTAATAACGCCTAAAAGAAAATTTTAAGCATTGCTTCTTCGCTACGTACACAGACTCTCTAAATCAGTATTTGCTGTTCTCCCAGCAACTCAAAGCTTATCTACCACAAATGGCTGGCCTTCACCTTTACCTCACCCCCATTTTAAATGCCACCATAACTAAGTTGATTTCGACTGCTGCTGATCAAATCAACCTTGTGGTGAGTTGGAAGAAGGAGCTTGCAGGGCTTCAGGGCAGACTAATCGTGATCCGGGCTTTCTTGCAAGATGCCGAGGAAAGACAAGTGAGAGACCGTGCGGTCAAGATGTGGCTTGAGAAGCTTAAAGATGTGGTTGCTGATGCTGATGATGTGTTGGACGAGGTTGCCTATGAATCTTTGAAGCAGAAGATTGAAATTCGAAACCAAATGAAGAGAAAGGTTCGCTACTTCTTTTCTCTATCAAACCCCCTGATATTTCAAAGAAAGGTGGCTAAGAAGATTAAAAATATTATTACAACTGTGGATGGTATTCACAGAGAGGCCCAAGGGTTTGGACTTCAATTCAGACCTCTTGGCCCAAATCCTGAATGCAGAAGAAGAAGCCCACAAACTCACTCTTTTTGTGATGTGTCACACACTGTGGGGAGAGATGATGATGTCTCTAGAGTAGTGGAGTTGCTGACGGACAGTACCAACCAATTACCTCTGTGTGTCATATCAATTGTAGGTATGGGAGGTCTCGGCAAAACCACTTTAGCACAATTTGTTTGCAATAATGAAAGCATCAAAAAATATTTTGCTAAGGTAATGTGGGTTTGTGTGTCTGAAAATTTTGATGTAGAAAGGATTTTAAAGGAGATGTTTGAGTCTATAACTGGAAATGCTTGTGAAGATATTAGAAATATGGACACTTTACTTCAAAAGTTACAAAAGATGCTGATAGGAAAAAACTATCTTCTCATATTAGATGACTTATGGAACTTGGAAAGGCAAAAGTGGGAAGAATTGAGGAGGGGTCTGTTGGGAATAGGTATCATTTCAGGGAGTCGGATTGTTGTGACTACTAGAGATGATAAGGTAGCATCAACAATGGGAACACTTCCTGAACACAAGCATCGTCTCAAAGGGCTAGAGAATGATGAATGCTTGTCTATAATCATTCAAAGGGCATTTGGAAACTCTCCAATACCTTCAGATCTGAAAGCAATTGCAAGGAAAATTGCTAAAAAATGTAAAGGTGTGCCATTGGTTGCGAATGTCATTGGGGGGAGTCTGTGTAATACTAGGAACAGAGATGAGTGGTTGTCACTTGAAAGTTCATGGGGATTATTAAATGAGGATGATGGGATCTTACCTATCTTAAGATTAAGTTTTGATAGATTGCCTGAACCAGTTATGAAGCAATGTTTTGCTTTCTGTTCTATCTTTCCTAAAGATTTTGTTATTGATAGAAAGATGTTAATTGAGCTTTGGATGGCTGAAGGGTTTCTTCAGTCACCTGAAGGAAGCTTAATGTCCATGGAGGATACTGGTGACAAGTATTTCAATAACTTGTTATCGTATTCCCTATTTCAACATGTGAAGAGGGATGATTGTGGGAGTATTAAATCTTGCAAAATGCATGATTTAATTCATGATCTTGCTCAATCTATTTCAAAACATGAGACAGTGATTTTAGAGACTCTTTTTGAGAGCAACATATCTAATAGTATTCGGCATTTGAATCTTTATGGTCGAGGAGAGGTGCCTACAAATTTTGGACGTGTTGCTAAAAGGCTACAGACTTTGTTCTTACAGCAAGCTTCCTTTGGTTGGCCAGCAGATCTTAAAAGGTTACGAGTTCTTAGTCTCTGTGATTCTTATATTGAACCATCATCATTATGCTTTGAAAACATGAAGAGTTTGAGGTACTTGGATATTTCAAGAACTCGAATAAAGGAGCTACCCAAGTCCATCAACAAGTTGTATAATTTGCAAACCTTTAGATACTTGAGGTGCAGGTCTCTGAAAATGACTCGAGAAGGAATAGAAAATTTGATTAGCTTGAGGCACATTTACTTCGATGATAAAAAGCTCATGCCTGCAAACATTGGGAGGCTGACCAATCTCCAAACATTGGAAATTTTCAGTGTGGGTACAACAAAGGGACACAAGATTGAAGAATTGGGAAGTTTAAGCAAACTTAGAGGAAGATTAAAGATTTATAATCTACAGCTTGTTAAAGATAAATCAGAAGCAGAGGGAGCAAAATTACATGAAAAGGCAGTTGATGTGTTGAAGTTAACATGGGATTACAAGAGAGAATTAGAAGGCAATCATGATGATGAAGACGTTTTGGAAGGCCTTCAACCTCACTCCGGTCTTCAAAGATTAAGGATTGAAGGTTATGGAGGTAAAAACTTGCCATCATGGATGTTGAAAAGCAGTGAATTGTTCTCAGTCAATAATTTCAATCTGGAGGAGCTGAGTATCTTCGGTTGCTCCAAGCTGTATTGCATTCCACCACTGGACAGGCTTTCATCTATTCAGCTACTTCAAATCGATCACTGCCTTGAATTAACTAGTATAGCTGATGGAGCATTTGCAAGCACGTCCCTTGAAGAATTAGTCATAAAAAGCTGTCCCAAGTTGCAAAGTGTTCCAGAGAGTGGATTATCATCGCTTAGGAAACTCCATATTTGGAATTGTGCGATGTTGAGAAGCATAGGAAATAGTCTGTCATCCGCCAAATGCCTCAAAGAGTTATATCTGGGTGATTGTTGGAATCTGAGTTTCATTCCAAATTTGGATGGCCTCGCCTCTCTTCACATATTTCGTGTTTCCAGATGTCATGAATTAGAATTTCTTCCAACTGGGCTGTCATCCTGCTCTTCTCTTGAGAAAATGGAGATAGCGTTCTGCGATAATCTGGTCTCTATTCCAAAAGAGTTGAAGAATTTGCGTTCATTGCTTGATTTATGTATTGCAGACTGCCCAAAATTAAATAGATTTCCAAGGAAGAGTTTAGGCCACCTTACTCGCTTGAAGAGATTAGATATTGGTGGTTTCTCGAAGGAGCTGGAACAGTTCCCAGGTCTGAGTTCCATCTTCCACCTCTACGCATCCCTTGAAGAGTTGACTTTGAGGGGTTGGGACAAACTAACCGAGCTACCGCATCAAATTCAACACCTTGCTGCTCTAAGGAAACTGGATATTCAAGGATTCAATAAATTGGAAGCATTACCGGAGTGGTTAGGGAACTTGTCCTCTCTTGAACGTCTGGAGATCACAAATTCCAAGAGTTTGAAATATTTGCCTTCTGCGGAAGCTATTCAACGCCTCTCCAAATTGAAAGAGCTTAAAATTCATTGTTGCCCTGGGCTAGAGCAAAGTTGCGCTAGCGAAACCGGTCCAGAATGGTACAAGATTTCTCACATACCAAAAAGAAGACCACCCTTTCCAAAGAGGCAAGAAGAGGTATGCTTCGTTTTCTCAAATCATAGCTGCAATAAATTTTGAATTCCCTACCCTTCCCTCAAATGAAGTTAATGTTTGTGTGTCAAAATAAAAAACACTCGTTCCGTTTTCATGTTTTTCAATATTGTCAATTCAGGGAACAACCAAAACCAAATTTATAAACAAATTTCCATTGTCCTAGGGTGGACTGTTAATATGCCATCGCAATCCAGTGAAAATTATTTTAGTTCCATTTTATATTTATTATTTGTCTTTTTGATTTCTTTTCTTTTTACTACATGTGGATTTAGTCGAGGTTCAAGGCGTGGAAGAATGAAGCCCGAAGCTGTTGACATCAAAGCTGCAATGAATTAGTTAGGCTGTCAGACAAATGAAGGATTCGTGGAATTCAGAAACGTACAATAAGCTTGAGGATGGAGGTGGTTTTCAGAAGGTATCTTCATCCATCTGCTTCAGCCAAAATTTCTTTTTAAATTTGATGAGTTAATTTCACTTTATAAGAAGTATTTCACTTTAAGTATAAGAAGTATTTCACTTTAAGTAATGTAGTGGTAAAAATTAAGTATTAAAATTAATTAATTTTAATTTTATTTAAATAATTAAAATTAAATAATTTAAATGAATTAATTAATTAAATTAATTAAAAAATAATAAATTGACTTTAAGTGATATCAAGAGATAGACTTGTAAGATATCTAAATTTATCATAATCAATTAATATAAAATTTAAATTAATATACTTTTAAAATTTATATAATTGATCTTACAGCAAGATTTTTTAATCGATTCAATATATTTTATCAAATTATACTAAATTTATCTTTATTTATTAACTTATTATATTTTTATATAAATTTAAATAAATAAAAATGTATTATATTACGTGGAACTTCCTAACTTACATAGAAATTTTTGTATTTATTTATCACTAATATTACATAAATCACATTAATCCATCATTAAATTTAATTCAATTAATGATAGATGATACTAGAAACTATTATATAAAATATTCTCTCATTTTCAGTTTTATT